GTTAACACTTTGAACGTGACGTGTTAACATGGATGCAGCTATAAAGCCGCCACGTCTGCTTAAGGTTAAATATATTTTTAAGGAAGCCCGACAGCGTGGTGATGGGCTCGAGCTCGTTCTCCAGGTGGCCACAGGTGCTCATACATGCCCAGCACGCCACAGAGAAAGCCGCGAAAGATGAGAAGTTGGTCGAGGCGACGTGTTTAGTACTGACCACTGGATATCTGTCAATAATAACTACCTCGGTGTTACTGCACACCTCATCGATGCAAGCTGGGAACTTCACGCCTTCACTTTAGGTAAACAATGTTATGGAATTTTAAATTTCATTTTACCACGACACCACGAATGATTACTGCAAAATTATTTTTGCTTCTTGATGATTAATTTGTGGAATGTGGGTAAAGTGGGACCATTTATGAAAATGTTCAGTGGTATTATGTGATGCATTTTGGAAACAGGTAATGAGCCCCTGGTCTAAGCACCATCTGACTAGAGAAACCTGTTCAAATACTTACAGTACTTTCACTTATTATTTAGGTAGCACACACATATCATCCTTATCATATTTTATTCTTACCCTTATCTTATTTTATTCTTATCCTTATTTAATTCATTTTCTTATGTTATTTCTCATGTTCTTATGTTAGGGATTGTTAAAGTAAATAAAGTAATTCTGATTATGATTAATGAATCCCTTTGGCAGAATACAAATGACCCATTTTAATCTAGTTTAATTCCAAGATTACAGTGAGATTAATCTAGATTTAAAAAAAATGTATCTATGCCCACCTCTTAAATAGATATATATATATATATATTGAAGATATATATACATGTTTAAGCTAAAAGAAGTAAAGAGCTAAGTTAAAGCTGCAGCAAAATCTATTGTTCATATTGAAGAAGTATATGCCATGTATAATCTAAGGATGGGCAAAAAATTTACTATTCCCAGGTGTTAGGCCAATGCTCGCAGAGGGGAGGATGAAATCTGCAGATGGGAAGGCTGATAATGACCTTGCTCCGACACACACACAGAAAAAAACTGATTACCGGGGAGCGAAAGGCAGGAAGCAACTCCATACATGGAGATAGGAATGTAGAGAGTATGATCATTCTGTGGGACTGTCTGTGTGAAACTGTAAGATGTTCCCCTATGAAGATACTAAAAAGAGCCAGTGTTGCAGGGGGGGTCAGAGTTGCTGTTTGCAGATGCGTGTTGCTTATGCTCCTCTCCCTTTGCAAAGGCGAATCGAAGCTTTGTTTTTTTTTATAACACTCCATCTCAGTTAAGTTACCTGCACTGGAATTAACGGACCCGGGGAAAAACCATGAAGTTGTTTTTCAACAATTTGGGGGCTCGTCCGGGATTCGGGGCGTCAGGACCGATTGGACATCGGACTCGGACCAACGGACAAAGGACACAGGCTAGCCAACAAAAACGTAAGCAGAACCTGTTTAATCAAATCTGCATTTTGGGTTTAGAACAACTAAATTAAGTGTCATGAGTCCTAGTAAGCCAAAGTCTATAAAAGAAAATAGAGGGAGTGATATAAAACAATGATTGGATGGTTTTAAGTAGTCTTGTTAGTTCAAGATAATGAATGTATAAGGTTATGCAATGCCATCTATTTTTATTTTCTTTTGAATAAATATGGACTTTTTAGAATGTTTTTAACCCTTGGTTACAGTAAAAAAAAAGCTTTTTTTAAAAGTGTAGATCTCTAATTCGTAGAAAGACGGATAGCAGGCGAGCAGTCAACTTCACAGCATTAAAGGTAAGAAAACTCTCTCTTTTGAGACTGATGCTATAAAGATTTAATTAGGGAACCACAAGGTAGAGGAAATTAAACCAATTAAAAACATTTATTATAAATAGCAACTACCTGTTGGTTTTCATGATATGTTTATTTGTGTAATAAGTTATTTGACTGCTTTTTGTGTAGTGGTACAATTATAATTTGAAGATAATGTGTTGACTTTGTCATGTAAAAGGTAATCAATAACTAAACTTTTCTTCTTTAAGCAGGATAGTCAAAAAAGAAAGAGAAAACACTGACATACACATCCAAGCAATGTCTCAAGCTCCAGTAAGTCATTCTGAGTTGAAGCTTTTCTTGTGAAGAACCATAATTTTGGTCCGCATAGGCATCAAAAGGGGTTTACACTATATTCAGTGGTGCCAAATAATTGATGGATTTTTCGTTTTTGTTCTCTTACAGATGGATATCAGTAATGTGGATGAACAGCTTTGTGAAGGTCAGCAGCATATGAAAAACAGAGACCTGGATCAGCTGAATATCTCTGAGAAATCAGTACATCGCTCTGACCACTGTGGAAAGGGTTTTAAGAGATCTTACTGTCTGAAAAGACACCTGCTTATCCACACTGGTGAAAAGCCTTTCCTCTGCCATCTGTGTGGGAAGCAATTCAGGCGGAGTGGACATTTGGATCAGCATCTGTCCACCCACAACGGCGAAAAGCCTTTCCTCTGCCTTCACTGTGGGAAGCAATTCTGCACGAAAGGAACTTTGAATCGCCATCTATCCATTCACACTGGCGAAAAGCCTTTCATCTGCCATCAGTGTGGGAAAAGCTTTGTTTGTAGATCTTCTCTGAGAACCCATCTACATATCCATACCAGCGTCCCTACATGTGCAGGAGTTGTGGAAAAAGCTTCAGACCATTGAAATCTGTGCAACATCATCTGGAAATTGACACAAGAGAAGAAAATCCTACCATAGCAGAGGCTTCACTTCCTGTTTGGTTCTCATGCTTCTCCTTATCTGAGACCAAAGCTTTAATAAAATTCACTTGCATTCAAAGATTTTAATATTTCTTCCTTTTGCAGCTATAGTTCTGATAAAAACTTTAAAATGAGTACATATTCCTCCATTTTTAGGTTCCTTTTAATGACTTCCTGTTAAATCCAGAATTATAATGACCAGATAATGGAAGACCCAGATTAAACCGGTGCAAGGGACGTTTAAACAGTTTATTGGAATGAAACTGGCGCTGGTTGGGAGAGATTCACCAGAATCACCAACTAGAACACAGAATACAGGTCAGAGATCCAAAAGACTTTAAGACAGGTCAGATAGGGGTCAGGCAGGTTTACAGGAATACTCGTAATAATCTGACACTAGTCACTGGTCTGACAGCTGGTTATACAGTTAGGTAAGAGGGAAAATCTGATGAAGGCTGTGTGGAAACAGGGCAGAGCTGACAGGTGTGTTGAATCCTGAATCAAACCAGCACTCATGCCAGGAATCATGACAAGAATAGAATCCTCCTTCTCACCTACGTATAAAGCCTTAAACAACCAAGCTCCGTCTTATATTAGAAATCTAATTGTTTCTGGTGTTCCAAACATTCACCTCACTCTCAATCTGCAGTGGTTCCTAGAATTTCTAAATGTAGAATGGAAGGCAAAGAATGGCCAAAGAGCCATTAAGGTACAGTATGGGAGATGTGGAGCTGATGGCAGAGAGTGGATGTCTGAGACCACATAAATGTAATGGAAGCAGCTCAGTAATCAAGAGAAACGTTACAAAATTAAGAGAATTAATTGTTTTGAATAAAATAATAGAGCTGGAAAGAAGAAAATTAAAGTTTAGGTTGAGAATGTATGTTAGTGTTTCTGATTGATTTTAGGCCAGCAGAGAAGGCTTTGAAGGCCCTCACAGCCCACCACTGTATTCTATGCTTCATTTTACAATTGCACTGACAATAATAACATACTTGAGGTAAGTTAAGTTGAAAATAAGTATTTAATAAATAATTTGTAATATTTCATTGGATAGGGAAACAATAATAGGAAAATATATTTGAATTGTAAAAATGTTTAAAACTGAATGTAATGCATTAACATGTAACAGGGACTTGGACAGAGAAGTTTTGGTGGAGAGATTTGACCTCCTCGTGGAATTTAGGAGTGGTCATACTAATGGCCTACTTACTTAACTTAAATGTTTTAAAAATTGATTTTAAATAACTGAACTGTTGCTTCAGAACCACTCTGAACAGTTTTTTTTTCAAACAAATTTCAAAGAAAGAGAAAAGAACACCACTCCTGGAGTTACATGCTGGATATCTGTTTTATACTTTATTCCTCACGAAACTCAGTATTATAAGTCACACTGTTTTTGACATAGGAAGAAGCTGTTATGCATTTCAAAGTGTTGAAATAATGTCTGGGGAATTTAAACAGCACTATAAGAGCTGTAATCATTTAGTTGGTGAAAACATTATGGAAACCAGCTTTATATTACCTCTGCAGCCACCTCCAAGTGATACATCATTTCATGCTGAATAATACGGTAGAATTGAGTTGAAGAAGGGTTTGTGCTGTGAAAAAAAACATGAAAACACACTTGGGAACCAGAACGGACTATGAACCACATTGGTGGTAGCAATATTTATACATTTTTAGATGACACTGCATCACAATCACTGCCACATGAACAAACAAATATTACATTATCCATACCATTCCATCCACCTTCTAAAGCAAAAAAAGCACTGTCAGCTTTAAATTAGGCACAGTTTTACTTGTTATACTTAAAATGAAATGATCAACATCAACCAATACCAATATTGATGCCAATACAGTATATTGTGCATCCCTGCTTTAGTGTCAGAGAGTGGAAGGTTATTCTATATAGAACTTGTACAATAGCTTATACAGATGGCATCACAAACATCTCATCTCAACAAATTGAAACCTTATTTAGTGACAACAAAATAATAGTCTATTGCTTTCTCTTAAATGATGGCATACGTTTTTATCATAAGAAAAACAAAACCATTGGGAAAAGCTGTTGTTCAACTACTCTGACAGTTAGAGTTAGTGATGATCAGTCAGGTCTTGAACTTGTATTTGGTGTTTGGAGATTTGCTCAGTGCAAACTCATGAAAAATGCAAATGCACACAGCTTTACGCACCATAGTTAGATAGAACCAAATAAAAAAAAGAGAATTCTCTTTTTGTTTCTGCAAAGATTCGACGCCGGAGGCCAACACCTGCCACTCTCTTCAAACTGTCAGACCCCCCATCACCAGAGGAAGACAGCAGCTCACATCAGGTATAAAAGAGAACGCTACCAATCAAACCAGAAAAGTTTCCTATAAAACTTTAATCTTCTTTGATGATGAGGAGTTGTAGGTTTTTTATTGTTGTTAGTCTTTTATATTTCACCACAACACATTGCAAATAATTAGTTATTCTGGAGAAGGTATGTAAATTGGGGATATTTGTCTTAAACTTTAGCGTTTTGTTCTCAGGTTTTAAAGGTACAATTTACCCAAAAATAGCAAGACCTTTAATAAGAATCTGTGTTAAAGGTTGGCATTTCAAAAATTTGCAATTTGTATGCAAATTAATTCTAAAATATTAGCTATAACTTAATTAACACAATAAATTTGTTTTTCTAAATTTTGCTTAGAATCTAACATAAGGAAAATTAGTTACAAAGCATTTCATTTTTACATTTTATCCCATTAAAACTAAAGAAATAATTAAATAGTTTTATTGGAATTTAATATGTAAATCCAAAATAAGGTTGCTCATAATTGCGACGTAAAAGAATTTTACGTCGCAAAATTCTTTGGGATTTTATTTCTATTCAGCTCCTTTACTCTGAAAGTCTTTAAGGGAATTAGTTACAAACATTTTCACTTCAGGGTGAAATTGTTTGCATCAATCAGGAGTTTGTTAACTCCTCATTGTTTTCTTAGAGAACATTGATGAGAAAACGGACCATGGAAGCCAATGATAAAAGCAGAAGGGTCACAGATATAGTTCAGAAACCAGCATTGTTCAGTTCATCATCTGAAAATAAAGGCCTACAATAGAGCCTATCTGACATAGATTCTATTTAGGGAATTTCTTCTTTATGCAGGCTGAAATGGTATTCAGTAAAGAACAATTAATGCCTATATCCAATATTATAAACGGTGAAATTAACATGGGCTGCTCAGTAGTGTAGTGCAGTGGGTAGCACTACTGCCTTGCCGCAAGAAGGTTCCGAGTTCAATTCCTAGCCTGGGGTCTTTCTGCATGGAGTTTGCATGTTCATGAGCGTGCATGAGTTCTCTCCAGGCACTCCCACTTCTCCCCACATCCCAAACACATGACTGCTAGGTTAATTGGCTCATTGTTTTCTTAGTTGATGAATATTCTCAGTCATCCAGGTCATAGTCCCGTAAAAGTTTAAAAAACTATCCACTAGACTTGGTTACCAAGATCTGAAGACGTTTCGCTTCCCCTCCAGGAAGCTTTCTCAGCTGCTCTCTTCAGCCGGTGAACAATACCTCCTTAATGACCGACCTTCAGAATCATAGACAGGTTTCAGATATTACAGGCCAACAATGGAACCAAACGAGCCACTCGTCGGTTTCAATTTGCATGTTTCCAAGCAATACAAGGCCTTGCCTATATAAAGACTCAAACTCACTGCGAATCCAGACATTTGAAATGAAAAAGCTTCCTGGAGGGGAAGCGAAATTTCTTCAAATCTTGGAAACCAAGTCCAGTGGATTGTTTTTTAAACTTTTACGGAAATTGCTTTCTTAGAGAACATTGATGAGAAAACGGCAACATGGAAGCCAATGAGGAAAGCAGAAGGGTCACAGATATAATTCAGAAACCAGCATTGTGCAGTTGATCATCTGGAAATATAAAGTGAAATGGTAGAACTTCAAAACTACCAAGAAATGGCTGTCCAACTGCAAAACACTGTTTATTGAAACGTGAAAGGAGAGCAGACTAATGGTTTTGATGGCAGGCTTTTATAATGCAGAAAAAAGCAGTTCAGCTCTTCTGTTAAATAAATAAGCATTTTTTTTTCAATTTTAATTTCTATTAACCAAATATTTCAAAAGATAAATAGACAAAAAAAGAAAATGAAATGATTAACAATAAAAGCTCAACTGATATTTTGGAAAACCAGTGTGTTGACTGATCTTCATAAAACTAGAAAAGGTTCTTTTTTTTTTTTACTTTGAAATAAAAAACTAATTGCTATCCGTTTTTTTTCTAAAATACATTACAAATGTTACAAATCTTAAAGTCAATTTTGCATTATATATATTTTTTCGGGAAACAATACTAATATCTTGGCTCTCTCTTTGGCACTGATGCAATCATAAAACATATGGTCTTTTTCAAACAGTCATACACATGCTTTATTTCTGCAGTGGGTTCTGGGTGAAAATGGAGCCATGAAAGCCAAACTGGTTCAAATGGCAACCTACCAGCCACCCTCACTCAAAGGTAAATGCATCTTTTTTAAATCACAGTGCAAACAAGTTTTTATTTTTATAACATATAATGCAACAACTAAAAAAAATTGTGATGTTGAATTGAAGTCTAATACAACATGGCTCCCAGCTGCCAGAATTCAGACATTTGTTTCCAAAAACAGCCTGACATGATGGTTTCTGTGTCATTTATACGAGTGTGAAGCAGTGTGCCATGTCAGATTAGGAGTGGAAACAGCTGTGAGCCCATTCTGGATCATCCTGGATTAGGGCCTGCAGCTGCAGCATGCTCTCTTGTGCAAACACAAAGATGCATAACACTGATATTGATGCAAGAAAAAAACATGTCTGTTATTAGGAACTTCTTCACTGACACAGGAGAGCCCGCTAGTTTTAAATCATCTGAAAGATACACATTGATGCCTGTAACCTGCAGTGCTGGAAGTGGTTCTTTGCTCCTCTGGTTAATAATTTGGCCAGAGATAATAGGAAAAAAAAAAAAAAACATCGATGTGCCTCCAACATAATTTCATGTTTTCTTTTTTATTACAGTGATTACTGTATGTACAGTTATCCAGACTGTGTCATTGGTCAAGCCATTTTCCTTCAAAGCTGAACTCACTAGATTCAATCCCTTAATGATCTGATCTGTCTGTTATTGAAACATTCAAATAAGATAAGATCATCAAGGTCCTAATTTTTATCTCTGTGTAATTAGTTTAAGTCAAAATTTTACTATCAACCACCTATGCTCCCATTCTTCTGTTGTGTGTTAAAGAAGTAAGTTCATGTTTAGGTGTACAATGACTTATTGATTTGCATTTATAGCTGTCCAGATGATGGCAGAGGCACACCTGAAATCTCTCCATAGGGAAGAGCCCTCTTCTGAAGACGAGCAACACAGGGATGATGAGAAGCAGCAGATACCTTCAGTCATAAGTGAGTGTTGCAGAATTTTCCTCTAACATTGAAACGTTGACTGAAAAGAATTTGATTTACTGTGGAAACTTCTTTTACACCAGATTCAGGAGAGGAAAGCAAACCACTCTCAGATCATTGTGACCTGCTGGGATGTTTAGCCACAAGAGCTGATCTCTCCAAAGATGCCACCAAAGAACTGGAGGAGGAAAAAAGCGAGAACGACAAAGAAAGACAGAACTGTTGAAGAGATTTTACAGAGAACTCTAACTGTTCACCTGCACAGACCTTTTTTCCATATGGATAGGTTTGTTTTTTAGATATTCATGTGTGTGCTCATGCGTGCAGCTATAAAGCTGAATGTGGAAAAAGAAGTTGACGAAAAACACAGTCATTAAGGAAGAATATAAATGAGCAGATGTAAGGTAAAATTTAACCTAATACGTGCAAAGGAAAACACGTCCTAGCCAGCCAAGAAAGCATTAGCCTGGATCAGTTATTAATGAATTACATAAGAAAAAAAATCAAAACATCAGAACAGGGTGGCCATATTAGATTTTCAATATACCATAGTCTGTTATTTTTTACTGTCCGGACTATACATTATACTGTAGATAGAAACAACTTATTTACTTCTGCCTAAAAAAAAAAAGAAAATGAAACGTTTTATTTTAGATGTTGGTGATCATCGCTCAGGCAACATCCATACTATAGTTTTATTTCTTGCAAAATTGAGAACAGTTAAAGTGAAAGACTTGTGTCAAAAACAGAAATCTGTATCTGTTCTAACCCTGACAAAGAAAAAGCTGTCTGTTAAAACCTTATGACTCTCTAGAACTTATCTTAGATACAAAGGAACAAACTAAAACTTGAACATCCGCTGTACAAGACAGAGTAAATGCTTTTTTTGGGTTATACTATGCCATAAAGAAGGCTAGATGAAATTGTTTTGAAACCAGACCTATCCAATGTTCACACATAAAAAGATAAATGAAAGTTCAAGACAGTCTGAGGATTGTGAAAAGCAAAGGTCTACTAATGTAAAAAAAAAATCAAACATATTGTTCCAAAACAACCCTGAAGTGCCGTTAAGATATAAACATTTACATCAAATAGAATTAATCATTGAAAGACATGCTCTAGTTATGGTCACAGATTATCCAAAATTTTACTCAGGAGCTGAAAAGCCTTGATGTATGTTTGCACACAAAGTTGATGAAAGAAAGAGGTAGAAAACAGATGCTAGAATAATCATTATGAAGACTTATTCAACTAGTCATGCTAATGCTGCAACGTTTATCTACTACAAAATTTCTTTTTTTAGCTTTATTAACATGGTGATTAGAATAAATGTGATTTGGTCTGGAAAGCATATTTTTACAGCTGGTATGTGATGGAAATCCTACATGATTAAACTAATAACCTGTAAAGAATTTGTAGTCACTTATTAGTTTGTATGTAACTAATCTGATGCATTTATTCTTTGTTAAAAAAAAAAAAAAAACAACAACAGTAGATTGTTTCTGTGAAACTCTGATAAAATTTTTTATTTCTTGAATAAAGAAATAAAAAAATGCTAGGTAAAAAATATTTCTTGTATTAAATTTAATTGCAGACAATAACTCTGTTCAGTTTATTTAAGTTATAACAATACCCAGGAGTGGTCAAGATTGAGTAAAGATTTCATCCAATTGTGTATCAGGAAATATATGAATGGCTTTGCCTAATTGTTTCTAATCCTACCTAATGGGGATTGAGATGTACTGCAAAGAAGAATAGAGCAAACTGTCTTAAGGTACTGTAGGTGAGCTGAGCTTGTGGGATCAAAGACTTGAGGCTGTATTTGCAGCCAAAACTGGATCTACACAGTATTGGGTAAAAGCTGTGAATACGAATGAAAATGATATGATATGAAAATGGGAATCTGTATGGAACTTTGTGTTTTATATGATTAATACATTTGCAGAAATTTTCAAAAAATGTTTTCAAATTGTCATATGAGGTATTGTATGCAGAATTTATAGGAAAGAGATTAATTCATTGCCATCTGTAACAGGAACCACATAATTGACATAATTAAAAAATGCATACAGAAATAAATGAAGGACTTAATAATATAAAATTGCTTGAAAAATAGCTTATACCGGGTAATATGAATTTGTGTGGCATTAAATGTGACACAATTAGAAGAAAAAATTTATATTTCTTAATCCTAAAGATTTTTTTGTTGTTAAAAGAAAAAAAGCTAATCACTGAATAGAGGGGGAGGATCGCATTTTCAAGTTCTAAGAATCCATAACTCGGTCGAGCAAATAATTTCTAAGAGGTTATGCAAGCAAACACATCATGATTCAAATGGCCTACCACAACTAACTGAGTAAGACTCCTTAATAGGTGTGGAAATATTTACAGAAAAACTTGCCTGTTTTATGGTTGCCATGACCTGGATGACTGAGGATATTCAAAGGCATGTTGGAGTAGAAGTATCAAATAAACAGGGAAAAAGTACAGCCCTGTGAATATCTTGCCTAATGATCCCGAAATATATTCCAGTGTATGACTGAAAATTGAAACCCATGAGGCAAATAAGTAACGATAAATAAACTATAATAGGCAAGGCAAGTCCAATGTAAGGAAAAGCAAGAATAATTTTGTATAGCACTTTTCAGTTGAAAGACAATACACAGTGCCGTGCATAAAAAAAAAAAGTACATTGTTGTGGCATAGAGGCAGTATAAATAGAGAATAAAAGTGAATATTTAAGGGTTATATAAAAAAGACAAAATTATTTATTAAAAAGGAAAGTTTGACTAAAAACGTAATAAAATAATGTTCAAATAGAACAGTCAAAAGATATTTTTAATCATGATTTAAAGCGGCTGAGGGTTTTCAGCGCTTTTACAGTTTTCTGGATGTAAATTCCTAATAAGAGAAACATAAGAAGTAAACACTGATAGAACTAAACAACTGTTAAAGCATTCTGGATCAACTTTAGCACTCAAATGGACTTTTATGCAAACCAGTGCAGACACCAGTAAACAATTATACGAAAGATGGATGCAGTAACTAACATAGGTGACAGAAGACTGACTTTTTTCTGTTGTTATGTTTCTTTGAAGGTTCAGGTCTGAGACCACCCAGATTTTGGTCTTTATTTTTTTTTTTTTGTTCGTGCTTACTTTTGAAAGCTTTTCTTTTGGTCCAAAAACCATTAGTTGTGTTTCGATTCAACTGAAGAAAAGAAAATTTTGGGACATCCATGCAATAATCTCTTCTATGAGTCATGAGCACTTGAATGGATTCAAAGTCATAGTTATTATAACTTCTATTTATTAACTTCTGACTTAGAGGGGGCTTGTAAATGTTGAATAGAAGGGGCTCTAAGATGGACCCTTGGGAGATCACCACAGGTTATTTTTATAGCCTCTGATTTAAAGTTACCTACTGAGGCAAAAAAGTGGAATTAAAACCAGGTCAGTGCTCCAAAAGAAAGTCCAACCCAGTTTCAGAGGCACTCTAATAAAATTGAGTGAACAACAGTGTCAGATGCTGTGCTATGGTCCAATAATACAAGCACTGTAGTTCTGCCCCATTCTGCATTTATGCGAATTCACGACATATATATATATATATATATAAAACTGAAGTGAATTGAACCCCTAATAGGGACAGGCACAGTACAAGAGTGAGAATTATGGTCAGAAATAAAGTAATTTATTAAAGAATTATCCTGACAGATCTGTTCATTAAACCCAGATTAATGTATATGACTCCGTGCCTGATATTAAATCTGTGTCTGATTATATTTGACAATTTATGGCTTTTTAAAGTTTCATGGTATATAAAAGTTTAGTTTTTTAAAACATAGGCCAAAGATTTTATGTCTATCTCCCATTAGGGGCCCAAGTGTTGTCTGGAAATGAACATTTCTGAAAGAGTTACCAATGGGGCCTAAAACATATCACAGAGAAGTGATTTGAAGTCCAGCTGCCTTTTATGTTTCCAGAACTTTAGGATCGTTATATTCTGACTGATGATATATAAACACACTATCCTTCAGACAGACTCAGACGAACACACTTAGTAATCTACTTGATTATGATTAAAGAAGTGACCATAAAGCAACAGCTGATAGTCAATATATTTAATTAAACATCAGTACATGTTAGAGATGCAAATGAATTTCCTCACAAAGAGAAGTATTACATATCACCTTTATTTTTGCATTGAATTTAATATATATTTTAAAGGCTTTTCATGTAAATGTAAGCTTTCTCTATATCTGAATACACAGGAAACATATTTATGTGAAAAACAGAACTGACTTTTTCATTTTTACAAGGGTAACATTGGTACAGACAGATAGAAGCAACTTTAGCCTATAGAGCATTGTTAATAAATGACACAGCACGTCTAAATGGCTTCATTCAAATCTTTGTGGGGTGAGCTTCCTGTCAAGGTTTACAATTTTAAAAATGAAGTAGTAATATTTCACCAGCAGGGGTCAGTCTTTAACCATTGATCCTCACAGTGAGAGGCATAAAAATATTTAGCTTATTAAACTCTTTTATTCCTTCTTTAATAGCTAAATTGATTCTCATTATCTTCTGGTTTAGAAAAATACAACAAAAAACATTTATTTTCTTTGACTGTTGAGGATTTTCTTCCTTCTGATATAATGGTATAATTGTGACAATGATTTAAGATAAAATTTAGACTTTTCACGCCAGCAAAAGTAAATATAAAATATCTTCCAAAGCATCTATACTTTCCCGATAACTGATATCATGACAGTGTAGCTGCATTCATGCAATTACCTTAATTAATCCTTCTTTGCCTTTGCAAAAAACACCCCCGTCACATCATCAACTCCAACCTGCATATCCTGAGGCAGAGTGTAGACTTCAAGCCTGATCAGGGTATAACCACTTTCCTTTAAGCTATCACAGACCTGGGCTTCATTTAGGGGTACCACAGGGATTCTTACCCCAGGACCACCAAAATAATAACTCTCTCCAAGGGCACCAATTAGCATAAGGTGGCCACCAGGACGTAGCAGCTTCCCAATATGACCCAGTGCCCTGGTGAAGGCAGGGAGGTCGGGGCTAACGCTTTCCAGGCAGAAGCAGGACACCAGACAGTCGGCCCCAGCTACAGGAAGGCTTTCAGCGGCGATGGGCTGAGAGCAGTGCACATCAACAGGGAGGATATCTGTGATGACACGACGCATCCGGCTTGCTTTCTCTG